AACCAGGGATTGAACTCAGGCCCTTGCACTTGCCAAGGAAGCACTATTCTACTGAGCCATCTCCCTGGCCCCTATGCCTATATTTTTAGTCTTGACTATGCCAATTTAATTAGAATTCCCTATATCTAAAAAGTACTTCCTTTTACTTATTGAAAGGCATTTTAGTGTGGTGTATGTATAATACCAAATAAAGAATATTTAACATTTGTCACATTTTATAGTTGATCTGTAAATTCAGATCCATTTAAGAGTTAGCATGATATAACAGCAAGTTCTACTTTTGATTTCTTTAGGTCAGACTGAGTTACTCTTCATGGTAGTATTTAAACAGCTATTCAAAAACACAAAACTAAAACTTTTACTGTTGTATGTGTGATTGGTAGTGGTGCTTCCTGTCAACTCATTAGAAGGACTAAAGTGAGGAAAGTACAACATGAGCACAAATTTGTATGTGACCATAATACTTAATTAAAGACAAATCAGATTGAAAAAAAATTCTATTCATCTCGTAGAAATCCATGTCTTTGAATGTTATTTGCAAGTCAAAACTGCTCATTTCTAAGGAGTTATTAACTTGACATTCTTTGGACAGAGCAAGTATTAAATGATGCTGGATAAGAATACTATTTCTTTTTCCATCTTCAGCAGTCCACGTTTGCAGTGCATAATGCTTCTGTCCTTCCGGGGAGCGGGCACATGGGCATTAGCATGCCCTAATTACTCCCTTATGCTCTTCCCTTCCCCTTGCCTCCTGTGCCTTGAGTCCCTGCCCATTTGATAGTGCTCCATCTCCCCACTTCCTGCTATGTATCTTTTGTTTTGCTCTTCACATGTTTTAGGGTTTCTCATACAAGAGAAACCATGTATGATGTTTAAGCTTGGGTGTCTGGTTGATTTCACTGAATACTGTGTTCTCAAGGTGATCTATTTTCTACAAATAACTCAAGTTTACTTCTTCAAGATGAATTTGTTCTTTTTGTGGCATAGTAAGCTGCACTTGACCAAAAATCTCAAAGGGTTCATGGTTCATGGAAAACACAAGTGCATAGGAAATAGTTACAGTACTCTGCAACTAGTATCAGAACAAAAGTATTGAATTCTATTTTTCAGAAGGAAGTAGTACAATATTTTTCAAATGATGGAAGAAAAGAACTGAGGAGCCAAAGTCAAGGTGAAAATATTTCAGGAATGAAAGGGAAGGGAGGGCACAGTCGAAGGAAAACAATGTATTGGCAGTAGACCTATCCTATAATGATGGCTGTAAGAAGCTCTGTAAACAGAAGGAATTAGTAAATAATTTTTTATTGTGTGTTTTATTTTAAAGAGAAAAAGAAAAAATAGAAATAAAAATAAAACAGTTTCAGATCAGGCTAATAGAAGAGTAAAAAAAGAAGTTAATGCATTGCATATTATCTTCACAGTAGTTAGTTACAAGATATAGGCACGAAATATTGTCTAAACAATATTAGCTGAAACCTTTCTTTTCAGTGAACTGAAAGAAACTAGCTAACCACTTTCTTTTCTTTTGAACGGTTTCTTCCCACTTCACAATACTGTACACTTTAGTCTAGAGAGAAATGTGATGTTTACATGTGGGGGTCAGATTTGTTTCACTTATGAGTGTGGGCTCAAGTTGTGTCCATTTACCTATAAAAGTCTCAAGTGTATCTTTTTTTATGGCTGTACTGTAGAAAAGGACATCTTTTTATCCACTCCTTGGCTGATGGGCATTTGGGTTTGTTTCCAAGATTTCACTATTACGAATCATGCCACTATAACTATGGGTACACATATATTGCTATGATATGCTATTTTATTTTTATTTTTTTTAATTTATGTATTGGGGGGCATAACCAGGGATTGAACTCAGGCCCTTGCACTTGCCAGGGAAGTGCTTATTCCACAAAGCCATCTCCCCAGCCCCAATATGATGTTTTAATTCTTCTGGGAAGATACCCAGAAAGAGAATAGCTGGGTTGAATCTAGTCCTAGATTTTAAAGAAATCTCCACACTGATTTTCACAGTAGTTGCACCAGTCTTCACTCGCACCAACAGTAGAAGAGTTCCTTTTTTCCCCTACAGCCCCTCCAACATTTGTAATAGGTTCTTTTATTTTTTTAGTGTTAGCCATTCTTTCTGGAGTATGATAGAATCTCAGTGTTTTTTAAATTTGCATTTCTCGATTTGATACAGAGCACAGGCCCAGCATGTGAGTGAGACTGCACGGGGCCACAGGATCCTGAATCCACCCAGAACACAGGCCCAGTGTGTGAGTGAGATGACCTGGGGTCCGCTGGATCCTCATTCAATCCAGAGCCCAGGCCCGCTGGATCCTAATTCGACCCAGAGCCCAGCGCCAGCATGGAACCTGAAGCAGAACTCCCTGCAAAAAGGCTAGAGGCAAGACCCACCCAGCTGATTCAGGAACAGAACATCTTGCCAGAGTGGCACAGAGGGTTCAACTCCAAGGGCTTCAATAGGAAGAAGTGGAGCACAGCATCCAGATCCAAGCCACACCCACTTGGATGAGTTTGAACTTGGTAGATCTGGACCTTGTGCTAAGGTAATAACTCTATCTAAGCTCTACACCAAAGTCAAAAAACAGTGCTGCAGAAAATGACAAAGAGAAGGAACAAAATGCAGTCTCAGACCCTGAGCCCACCCAGAACAACTGCAGAAGACACTAGCATAGAAGAAATTGGAAATCACACACCTGAAATAATAGCATCTGAAGTAAAGAAACAACTACAGAAAGGTATAAAGGAAATCAGATCAGAATTAATTTCTGAAGTAAAAAAAGAAATGATAACTATACTGAAAGAAGTACTAAGTGCTTCTAAAGAAGACACTGATAAAAAAATAGAGCAGAATACAAAAATGATGGAATCCTTGCATAACCAATATAGGAAAAAAATAGAATGCATGAAGCAGATCCAAAGGGATACACAGGAATTTTAAACCTCAATAACAAGACTGTTTGAATGAAAGTGAGAAAGTGAGAATAGACTTTCACACCTTAAAGACAACATTGCAGCTAGTGAAAAAGTAAGAAAAGATCTCTTAAAAACAACTAGGATGCAGGAAAAAATAATTCAGTATCTGCAAGATGATGCAAAGATGAACAGTGTGAGACTAATAGGCATCAATGAGAAGGAAGGAGTCAACACAAATGATATAAAAAGAATATGACAGCAATTAACCACTAAGAAAAATATATGCAGTGTATTATTTGTTGAAACTGTACTTCCAATTTGATTTGAAACTGTCTCACTGCTATCTGTTTATCAACAAAACTTTGAAAAAAAAAGAATATGGGCAGAAGTAATAGCAGAAAACTTCCCAAATATGGGAAATTATCTGACAATCAGATAACTGAAGCATAAAGAAGTCCAAATAACATCAACCCAATGAAAACCACACCCAGACATATAATAATCAAGATCCCAGAAATTCAGCACAGGAAAAGTGTACTAAAAACCGCTAAAGAAAAGAAACATCACATTTAAAGGAAAACCCATCAGGATAATGGCAGATTTCTCTTCACAAACCATCAAGGCAAGAAGAGCATGGGGCAAAGTACTTCAAGTCTTGCAAGAAAACAAATTGCAACCCAGACTGATATACCCTGCAAAACTCTCTTTCAAGTATAGTGGAGAAGTGAAATACTTCCATAACAAAGAACAACTAAAGAATTTCATGCTGACAAAGCTAAACCTACACAGACTACTAAAAGATGTTCTAAAGAGGGAGCAAAATGACCACAACTCCATGAATGAGAATGGAAAGAACCCACCAAATAGAGCAAACAACTAAACACAGGAGAATAAGAGGTATACAAAAGCAGTCTTTCAGTTATTCTTTTGTATACAGCAGCAAGATATTTCCATCAGCATACTCTACAAATGGACTTCTCCTGTACCCTATATTCCATGATTCTGTCTGGGTCTACAGGGTGAATACCAAGGAAATAGCAGTAGCTCAGTCCCACAAGTGACACCTGAACTCCAGTAAGTGTTATGGACATTATCCATGTCCACAACACACTAGAACTTTGTGTGATATCCTGTCCCTAAACTATTAGAAGTGCTGGTCATTTATTTGTCATTCCAGTATTTATTTTATGTTTTATTCTTAGTAATTCTTTACTATCATGAAAACTTTTTCTTAGTTCAATTGTTTTGAAACATTTAATTTTTAATTAATTAGTATTCAATTCTCTGAATATTACCTAATCTTAATTTTTGTTTTAAGATTTATATTGTATATCTTACAATCTATTTAAAAAGACATTGTATGATATCTTCTCCTAGTATTAGAAACTTTAAAAAGTATACTTCCATTTTCCATTGACTTTATATTACTTCTTCCCTATCTTTTATACACACACATATGAAAAAAAAATGTGTATAACCTGACATAAGATTAATACTGTTTCATAGAAATCTTTAATGACCTTTTAAATAGGTTCATCTAATATACTTTACATAGTCCTACATAACTACCATTTTGAAAGTTCTTTATTCTTCATCCAGGAGCATATGACAATTTCTGTTGCCTTTTGAATTATGCTCTTTGTTATTTCCTATATACTACATCTGGAGGTATTAGACTATTTCGAGTTTGTATAACTGGAAAATATTTTACTTTTAGTTTTCAAAGGTATTTTTGCTAAATATACAATTCAAAGAAGACATACCTTTTTTGTTTTCCTTTCAGTTCTTTAGTCTATTTTCTTACACACTTGGTCTTTTTTTTTCTCTCTAATATAGAATAAGATGTTATTTAATTTTGTTCTTCCATAGCTAATTTTTCAATGTATATGCTTTAATGATTTTTTTCTTTACAATAAGTTTTGGACAATTTCATTTTTGTATATCTGGGTATGATTTTATTTAAACTTCTTATTCAGAAGGTTCATTTTTCTTGGAAATGGGGTGTTATAAGTTCAACTAAATTCAGAAATTTTAAATCTTTAAATATTTATTGGAGTGTCTCCAAGATGGCCGCGTGGGGAAGGAGGCGTCTGGGCCCGGGCAGCAGCAGCGGCAGCGCCCGAGAGAGGGTAACCTTGTCAGCCACAGACTGCTACATCGTGCACGAGATCTACAATGGTGAGAATGCCCAGGACCAGTTTGAGTATGAGCTGGAACAGGCCCTGGAAGCCCAATACAAGTACATTGTCATTGAGCCCACCCGAATTGGTGATGAGACAGCACGCTGGATCACC